GTCCCCAATTGAATGCAGACACAAACTCACACACACGCTCTTTGCATCCACTGCTTTATTTTCTCGCTCTGGAAATTGTCAACCAATTTCCAGAATTTTCCTTGTTTTGAAATTATTGTTGGGCTTTTTTCTCAATGTCAAAGTATAACTTTTAAGTCACTTCTTAGTTCATAGGTGTCCTATATTTTTATGACTTTTTTAATATTTTGACAGAATTATTTGCAAATTTGGTGACATCTCGCTGACAGGTACTCTCTGGTATTTCTGCCCATATTTTGACTCTGAACTTTACACTGTCTTTCTGCCCCAGGTTTTCTTTATCATTTAAGGAATGTCTCAAGAGTTGACTGTCTTCTTGACAGTCCAATTTGGAATCACTTTGGAAACCAAAGATCTTAGAAATAGTTTTGAACAATAATGGGAACATCTGCTCACTCAGTATGAAGGCTGTCATACCTCCATTAGTAGAACAAGTGATTCGTCGGGGGGGGGGGGGACATCCTCTGCCCCCCCTCCCCCAGCCCATTTCGGACCCCACACCTTACCTCAGTGTGCTGAACTTTGTTCGTTTTGTGTTGGACTGTGCAACCTTGAAAAGCATTCAACTACTGTTGCCTTGGGCAAATCTCAGAAGAACAAATTATAAAGGGGCCAGTGCCACAAGTAATATTGGGTTACCTGATTAATCGATTGATGCATGGTAAGTATTGAGTTACAATTTTTTATTCAATCAATCGAAATCAAGAATGCGAAAGCTTCCTTGCAGAAGTTGCAAAAGATCTCCCCCAAAACCAGAGTACAACGTGTAGAACAGTCAGCTTGATTGGAACAGCTACTTGATTAATTGAAATCTGGAAGTGTGAATTGTTTTCGAAACGTATTTGTAAATTTGTGGCTCTGCTGTTTAACCACATGGTCTGATCGTTTTCAGTAATGGATTTGTGTTGCTTTTTTTTTCCCTGTCACTCTGCAGGATTCAGAAGGAGACACAGCTTTGCACGATGCTATCAGCAAGAAGCGGGATGACATCTTGTCGCTGCTGCTGGAGAACAACGCCGACATCTGCGTGACCAACAACAACGGCTTCAACGCCCTGCATCACGCGGCACTCCGTGGGAACCCCAGGTACGTGGGGTTTTTTTATTCAGTTGTTCTTTGAGGATTTGTTCTTGCAGGAGTCCGGAGCTGCATCTGAATCTGTTGTCTACAGGGGGTTATTTTCGTGACCCTTAGCTAGAAGCATGTTTGTGACATTAACGCAGTAACAAGGAACATGTTTGAGGTGGCCCATAAAAACACAGAACCAAAAACAGGTCATGCTAGAGAGAAAAAAATGTGTAAGGTTGCAGACGCAATTCATGACAAAAGTCGTGTCAAGGGTCGACTTTAAGCTTTTTTGCCCAGAAGGTTAAAATGGCTCCTGTTTCTATGGTAGCCAATTCACAACAATTATGGACAATTCACACAATGCTAGTCAGGTAATCACAGCAGCAAAGGATGTCCGTGTATCATGTGGTAAGCGTCCATGATGCATGCAACGGGCAGGCGATAAACCTTGTGCCGGAGCAGGATATTTTGTGAAAATTTGCTCGTTTCGAGTAAATGCAAAATCACGTCAAATTAAACTCCTGAACACGGAGAATACATACATAGACAAGAGACCAAGTTTTGCGAATTAACTTGAAGAAATCCTCTTGCAACATCGACGCTTTTTCAATCTGCAGCTGTAGGGTTGCTTGCGTGTACGGCCAGTGTAGCATAATCGATCGGGACGTACAGACTGGTTGGCACATTTCCATCACACATTCTTTGGCATGGGCATGGCAGGAACCAGTGCAGCCTTGCTTTGATGGATTGAGCCTTGTGCGCGTGTTTTCACCACTGGGACAGCGAAATGTGAAGGGAATTTGTGAAACTAAGAGAAGTTTCTTTTCAAAAATTGCAAATGTAAGTAGGAGAAATATAAAACGAGCTGTCTTAACATGAGAAAAGGTTGTCGAACCTACCCCACCACGGTAAATATTTTGGTGATTTCTTTGGAATAAAATGTGTCCTCACCCAACCTCTTGCTTTAACACGGGTTACCAGGCTCTAATTATGGCAGTGTGTCCGCTCAGTGTGGACCCATACATTTTCAGTCAGTCTTCAGAAAGTTTCTAACTATTGCTGGTCCTTTACATTCTTGAAGAAAGTAGCCGTTTTGGTTTGGGAATACATAATTTATTGATTTGGAGACAACGAAAAATTGCCTATTTTTTAAAATTTGAACCCGCAATTAACCAACTGCAGCCTTCAGTTCTTGTTCAGTCAAAAGAGTGACAACACACAGGCCTTACTAAAGCTGTGAAAATGCCCAACCAATGATCAAAGTAGAAACATGTCTACATGTAGGTCTAGGTTTCGCCTGTTGAAAATATGCAGGGACACGTTGACAGTTGATGTAACTCTGGTAACTCATTTCGGAAACAACCTCAAACCAAGCCTTTGTCTACTGCCATTTCTGTGTAGGAGTATGCCTGGTCCACGGTCAGAGAGAGTGGAGACCGGCGAATGTTTCATATTGACTCAAGGATCCCAAGTACACGTAGTTACAGAAACAAATTACCCTGTCTGGTCAATCCCAGTTTGAAATTCCTTGGAGTACAGCCAATGTGCTGAGTAAGACTCTTGTTTTGATAAACTGTTTATTTCCTGTTTTCTCTCCTGTTTCTTTCTGTGCCATTTGTTTTCCCTCTCCAACATTGCCCTTTTTTTACTCAGAATTCTGTCTTCCTCGTGGTCCCAGCCCACTGCGTTGCCCCATTTTTTACCTGGAATAACCTCCCCCCAGACTAAAAGCCTTGTGTTTTTTCCCAAAAGGATGTAAAGAAACAGGAAAATGCCAGATTTCAGAGCATTAGGACTTTTATGGTAAAGGGAAGACCTAGTGAAAGAGAGGAGCTTCTAACCGGTAGTCGCTCATTCATTACCTGGGGATAATGACAGTGTGAAGAGAAATTACTGTCTTGGTCCCTCACTCTAACACTTCAATTACAACACTTTGTACAAATCCATTCAAAGTACTTAAATACCTCAGAGGTTCTTTCCATAGCTTGCTGTATATTTGAAAGAAACAGAAATGAATGTCAAACACTTTGGATGCCAGCAGTGTCTTTGCAAGAAGGAAGAAAAATGTGATTTAAGGTTCCATTTAGTATACTAAAGACAAAAAAGTGTCATATGATATTTTAGATGAGTTTGGTCTCTGCTGGCTTTTGGAAAACTTCCACAGAATTGGTTCATCATGCAGTCATTCCTTGTATCTAACAAGGCTTTACTTATTGTAGAGGAAAGGTACATACCGGTATTTAGGATGACTATGGTGGTCCCTTTCATTTGAGTGTGATAGTACCAGTAATCTGAATTGTTGCCACCTGAAAACCTCTTAACCGCGACACTTTCTCTCATGTTCCAAAGTTTTCAAAATGATCCTCCAAATGGATACAGTAATTATGTGATTTTGTTTGTTGCTATACATGTAATTTGCCTCATAGACAAAAATTTAAAAAGAAAACACAACCTCTTGTTCCATCACACCGGACCACTTACTGACGATATTCTGTGTGCAAGCCTGTGACTGTATTTGTCTAAACAGGAGCATCGACTAGACTGGAACAGTTGCCGTGTCCAAAACATTAAAACTGATACAGAAGTGATGCTGATACCAGTTGAATCTCTCAACCCAGTTCAAGAATTGAAGTTTAGATACATGTGAGCTCCAGTGATTCCCTGACCTTTAGATGCAGTGACCTATAGACTGAGATATTGTTATTATGCTGTAATATGAGACATATTTAATTGGCTAGATATTGTCGGGTTTATATGAAGAGGAAGGCGTGTGACCAGCGGAAGTTGTAGGTATTAGATTATAAACAGTCATAATCAACACTCTGAAAGAGAGTTACGGCCATTCTCGTGAAGGATTGTTAAAAAAGTTAATTTCAAAAGATGGAAGCGTCAGTAAGAGCATAAATATGATGTAATATAAATATAATTCAAACTCAACTTGGAAAGATGGGCTTGGTCTGCCAAATTCAACAGATTAAGAGGGGATAGTAACAGGGATTCTTGACATTGCAGAATGGGTTCTGATTTAGTTGACAGAAGTCAAGTTGAGTCTGTGGTCCCAAATTTATTATCTGTGATGGGAAGAAGGATCTCTTGACCTTGCTTGAACGTGAGTGACATTACGTTGTCAAGATATACCGAGAAAGAAAAAACTTTCAAGTAAAGGACATTAGAAGGAACAAATCGAACGAGAAATGACAGTTACAGTTCAGGGTATGTTTATTGACAAAGTGGGGCTTGAACTCTCTCTGGCACAAATCACACTCTTGTAGGGGATACTAAGATGGCACTGGCAAACATAACCGTCCACCGATAACCACCCCCCCACCTCCGATAAGGCAGGATCCTGCTGAAAAAAAAAGGAAGAAGAAAGAAAGAACCAAAAGAATGAGCTGCAAAAAAAAAAAAAGAGTAAAAAAGATGACGCACTTGACAAACTGTAGACTCCATAGACTGGAGCTTGAGATATGTAACATACAATGGCTGGCTTTGGAAGTGATCTATACTACAGGCCGAAACCAGACACTGGGATATAGAATCGGCCATGAATGCATCTTCCACGGAAGTTGTTGTGCGGTCTATTGATCCAGTAACTGACCAATTTCAGCCCTGTTATTGAACTGTTCCTTCAGCTTTTCTGTCTGTTTTACCCGAGGGGAGTGAAGTACTGTAAGCAGTCCAGCCCTGAATTGCTGTCAGCGTACCGTTATGGTGCACAGCAGTTCTGAAAGTTTAATCGTTGCAAGTGTCAACAGGCTTAAGATCAAATTGAAACCTCACTCTGAAACCTTATCCAAAAACTACTTTGAAAGTTTGGCTTCTCAACAGAGCACATCCTTTTTATGACAATATAGAAGGTATCGTTTCAACTCTTAGCATTATCAGAAATTATTCATAACGGGTTTGGATAAGTACTCGTACTCAAAAAGGAAATACATTAGGTAGATACAGTGGTTTTTTTTTCAATCAGTACAAATTATTTGAATCATGGCTCTATAAAACTCCCCTTGAGCGCCACATTGCACGCACCTTGGAAAATCAATGCTTGAAGAGTATTCAAATTTATCTTAGAAATCTGATTAAAGTGGAAATACTGTTTTTCTCTTCATTTTCTATGAAATGATTTCTTCAGAAGCAAAGTAGTTTTTCTTTGAATCCAGCTGAAACTACATGTACGGCACATTGGTAATAATTGGAAAGGAGGTATGTAATATCTCTGGAACTGACTCAAATTGTTTCTTTGAAAGGAAGGACTTGTTTATCCAAGCACATTAATATTTCTTTGAAACCAAATCCATCTACACCACATCTTTTTCAAAACAGACGGAAGTTTACCGTTGAATCTTTTTCAAGCGATCCCCATTTTAAACATTTGTGTTCGTACCAGCTTAGATGGATTTTTCTTAGCCAGCAGTCAAAACAAGAATCTTTCAGAGAAAGAACAATATTTTCTTCAGCACAACTGGATATTTCTTTGTACATTGTTCTTATTTGCCATCTTTGGAATGGGAGAAGTGGGCCCTGTCTAAGAAACAAGGGGAACTCCATCTCTGGCTAGTAATAGTTTTCAGCTCACAGAAATAAGGCACATGTTAGTGCTTTCCTGAAACCCCAAAAGCTACAGATCTCACTATATCTCACTCCCAGCTTTTTTGAAGCTTGATTTATTCTTCTCAAGCAATTTTACACTTGGAAGTCTTTAGGTCTTTGTGTATAGAGCCTTAAGGTCAATTAGTTGCATAAGCACAATGCTCATAATTTACAAAGCTGGAAGTTCACGGAATAGCAAGCCACCACTTGCACTATTTCAACCTTTAGGGACCAAGCCTACAGGACAACTCCTGATGGAAATCTGATGGAAATCTGATGGAAATCTTTCCATTCTTACAGATAATTGGAAACTTACAGGCTCGTCATAACTCCAAGCGCACATTTGTAGAATTCACCCATTTTCCATGTGTGAGTCAACCCAAAACATTACTTACATGTACATATACCCATCTCGCTACTTCAGACTT